GTTCATTTAAAGCTWGGAAATCTTAGCCCAGTGGAGAGCAGGTAGGATTGGATTCATCCTGCTCTGGGAGGGATGTGTACAACACTCAATCGAGGCATGAGGGGCCTATGGAAGTTGAAGAACTCATTTCAATGTAAGATCATGGATCAAACCCCTGTTAGTAAGGACCTGCTAAGAATCATGATTTTGAAGAGCAGGTAGGACTTCTCACAGGACTGGAGTCCTRCAATGTGCTATAAGCTATCRTTCAGCACAAATTCCCCCCAATGCCAGTCCCAGCCAAGTTAATGCATAGAGGCTGCTGATTTGAGAGCCCCAGCCTGAGTCACACAGGCTCTGACTGCCAGACGTGATGACAGCCTGCCTCTCCCAGCCACTTCAACTGGAGCAGCAGGTTCTCAGCACTTCTGTGAATCAGGAGCTTTGTTCTTTGGCTGCAACCACAGTGAACGGGCAGTTCAATACAATTCCCTCACACCCTTGAAATAGTTTGAGTGAAATCTATTTATTACTCATTGTCATTTACAAATCAAGATGTTTGTTACTATTTGGTTAGAGGATCTCTGTGCTGTTCTTTCCAGTCTTTGTGAGGGGCTAGGAGGAAAAGTAAGGAAGCACAGAGGAATCCTTTAGGGCTTTGGCCAGCTGAAGTCTAGCATGTTCCAGTGTCTGTTGGTTTAAACTGCCAGCTCAGTAGCACACACTATTCACAGCCTTGCTTACCTGTGCAAACCACTGTGTTCACAGCAGGTACTGRGTCTCCACATCACACTGAATGGCCAACAAAACCATTCAGATGCAGGTAATTTCTAAAGAAACATTTTTAACTGTGGCCAAAGAGACGTGGCCCTTGGATGGGCAGTTTCTCTTCCATTTCCAAATTCTKTGGTCAGGTCCTTATCTTCTCTCTCACAACAGTTTAGGCCTTTGCCTCTTTCCRTACTTATAAATCTTAGCCCTCTGTATTCCAGTCTCCAGCTCCTCCAAGTAAAGCTTCTTGATACATCCTGGTAAAACACACCATGATCATACAAAATATTTTGTGGGCTCTTCATGCCCTTCCTCTCCATTGCAGTGGAAGCCCTTCATCTCCGTTTCACTAGTTTGAGAACTTCCAGCCTGGAAGAACTTTATTTAAACCCACTCTGGACCCTCCCCTGGATACTGGCTGTCTCCAGACCAGCATTCAGATTACAATCAAAACTCCTCTTTGCAGATGAACACKTAAAAGCTCCTTTAGGTCTTGGGCTGCTCAGTTCTTTCCTGTCTTCTGTTCAAACAGCACAGTGCTGTGCCTTTGGGAGCTGCTAGACATCCTGGCYTCCCAGACTGGGGGCTCTGCTCACCCTTTTCCAGATGAAGAGCTAACACTGAAGATCCAAAAGGCTTCAGGCACTGACAGATTCCTGGGAGTGAGGAGCCAGGGCGGCCTCACCAACTGGTGTGTCCAGGCTCTCAGAACTACAAAGAATGAGTCAGAAGAGCTGAGTCCCAGTTCTGACTCTGCCCATGATTCTCTGCATCACCATATTCCCTCTCAACTTCCTCAGCTGAAAAACAGGAGTCATAATATTTCCTTACCTACAAAAGCTGTTAGGAGGATTATTGCATTGTTGTGAATTCCACAGATGAAAGGTACTACAGAAGAACAAACTGCAATTATTGTTTCAAACCTCTGCCCTAATCCTGTCATCCTTAACTTACTGAATAACACTTACTCAATCGAGGAAATCCTGCCACTACACTGAAGAAGATCATTGGAAATGATGACTCTCTGTTGCAATAAGAGCATTTATCCCCTTGTGTTCAACACCCTTCTGCCTGGCACTGGAGTGATCCGAGTCATAATCTCTCCTTGCAGTGGGGAACTGTGGTTTTGATGGTGAAACAGGCACAGGTGAAAATCAAAAGCTTGCAGTAAGTACCTGTTGCAAAGATCAGAAAAATTGGTGCTCTCAGCCTTCTAARTACTGTTGGGTGCAGTCACACAAGGCACTGAGCATAGCCCATCCTCACAAAACTCATCTGTCCCCCAAATATCTCCCTTTTCTGCGTCCATCCCCTCTTGTTTTCAAAACACTCAACACTCTACAAGCAGAGAGGCAAAGTTCCCTGAAAACCACTCTGGTTTTGCACAAATAACATTTTTCCTGTTGAAGCCTGTGAACAAAGCTTCTGAGAAGGATGTAGGTACCACTGGGCATTRCAGGTTAAAAGTATTGCAACAGCCRGGAATAAATACATGGCAGGTATTCGTTAACAAGACACTAATTGGGTAACTCGAGGTGCAACAAAAAAGACCATAGAGGCCAATCAGCAGGTTGTGGATGAATCTACGATGCTCYTCTGAGCTTGGGGAGCAGGAGGAAGTAAAGAGCTACTGCTGCAGTTTTGCATTTTATGGAAAAGCTGGTGTTAAGGTGTCTCAGAAGAGGCAGCCTGTTACATCTGGTACATGAAACTGTGTGACAAAATCAGTTCAGAATTTAATTTAAAGATTACGGCTCTCTTTTCCTCGGTTGAAGTGCTTTTACTTTGGTTTTGGTAACTTGAGCTTAAATTGTTCTGATTTGATTTCACTGTACCTCCTAAGGGGCTTATTCAAACTGAGTCAGCCTGTGCCTGTTTGGCTAAACCATTATCTAAACTCACTGCCTTGCATAAAGAAGGCTTTAGGGATCCCAAAATATGTTTGCTTTCCTAATCCCTTGGAGGATGTAGCGGGGTTCTTCAAGCACAAGTCTAGAGACCAACAGGTAGGTGTGTGAGTGACTGGTGTGTTCCAGGTTGAAAGCTGATAGYGGTGAAATCTCTGGGGACAGTTTCCCACGTGAATTGTTTTGCCTGCTCAGCCTGATGCATAATGAACACAATAATTTGGGATGAAACTGTCTTACACCCACCCTGGGAGAGATAAGGCAGGATAAGGTGTAACTGGAGACTGCTTTTGGGCTGCAGTTTTGATGCACCCTTCATCATCGTGCTCCTGAAAGTGGATTTGCAGTAAGGATCAAACTCCAGTATTGAAYTTGTGAACGTTCACTGTGAGGTGAGTGCCCTGCTAGCTTGGAGAGTTTTATTCTCTCGCAGAGTTTCTGCTCTCTGGCCTCTCTTGCCTCTGCCTATTTGCCTGCACTCCCCTGCTTCTGCTATTATGATCTCTGCTTGTTACTGGGCTTGCTGAAAACTTTGCATTAGGAGACCCTTGTTCAGTTCCTTGTGGCTCTGCCAAGTCTTACGTTGGAGCCAAYACTTTTTTTCTGTTGCAGGAATTTGTCTTAAACTAGAATAGAAATAATTCTTTAAAATCGAGCTTTGAGATTATGATTTAGTTGAAAAGGAGTCTTTAGCGTGYATGGGGTCCATTTTTCCAAGTGTTYATAATGAATACTCAKCCCATTTCTCCCTGCCCCCTCCCTTGGAAAGTTTCAGCTGCCAACTTTTCCCAGCCCCTGTGCCCAGAGCTGCAGCAGTTTTCATTTAGGGGTCATGCTTACGATTTGGTGTCTGTGTATGTTATAGCATTMATGAATTCCTACTCTGGTTATCCATGTGGATTAGGCACATCCTGGAGCAGGACAGTGCTTTCAGAAGAACTGCCCTGGTTCCCTTCAGCTCTCAAATGCTTTGATACATGTGTGGTCTTTTGGATTGCCTTGAAATGAGCTTGGAGCAGAATGATGGTAAAAAGTGCTCAAAATGCATTCTCCTATTCTCCCTTGTATCTGGTGTTCAGGACACTTGTGGGCAGGGCAGAGTTTCAAAGGGATTTCCTTGCTCAGTCTGGCAGTTAGGTTTGTGAACACCAGCTCATGAAATGTGGTGATTCCCCTTAAGAATTCCTAGAATTTACCTTTTCCTTACTGCTTGCAAGCTTTCTGCTCCTGCAGAGACCATGTGCTYTGGGTGTGGAAGGTGGGGAGGTGACTTTTGGGTACCTGATGGTCAAATCAAAAGGGTCATCTGACAGGAGGGAAGCCCAAGTCATACACACTGACCTAGACTCCAGTTTAAGTGTTGATGCAGATTCATCAAATGCTGTCTGAGCAAATGTATCCAAAAATGGTGGAGTTGTGAGTTTCTGATTCCTGGATTTGAACAAACCTTAGAGTTGAGTGCCAAAAATCACTTTTTTTGGATAGGGGGTTTGGTTAAGGCATGTGCACAACTTTGGTTYTATCCTGAGGCAGCTGCATGGCTGAGTGGAATTCTCTTAAGCCTGTACAATCTTTCTGATTATATCATACCTCTGGAGAAATTTCAGTCCCATTGGCTGTGTTTTTCTAAAACTAATCTTCTGGAAATAAGGTCTTTTAGTAAAACTGCCTTCACCTTATGGTTACAATAAACTGACTTATTAATTGGCATCAGCATGTGGCTGTCTGAACCAGCAGCGTGGCAGCCTCTGCTGGCACACGTGTCCACAGAGAAATCCCCTCACTGCCTTATTCCATATTGGCACTCAAATGTTCCCCTCATTTATTTTCCAATAGCTCTGTTATTTTTMTTTCCTTCTTTTCAATTCAATCCTATTTTGGCTTATAACAATTTTTCGTTTTAACTTCTGTTTGCAGTTGTGGATTTGCTTCAGGACATGGGTTGTGTTGGTCTGTTATTTGGAAGTGTTTGTAACAGCGCTGATGTTTGTTGATGCTTTTATGGTGGTGTGCTGGTAAATTTCGCATTGTTTTTATTGTATACATTAATTTCTGTTGTTTTCAGCAGTTGACAATGTTATGAAATGCACCAACTACATCGGGCTGTCGGTTTTCTTGATGGATTTTTTTTGGCCGCTCACTACTCCAGCGTACATCGGCGGCAGGCTATTTTTATTGCAGCTCGTATTAGTTGTTGCGTAATAAATGCGAGAGCGCATTACCCAATGCAAACCGCGATTTAAAAAAAACACACCAAAAAAAAAAAGGGGGCGAGAGCAGTTGTGATTTCCAGCTCGGCCTCCCGCAGCACGCGTGTCCCCGCGTGTGTCCCACGCGCGTTTCCAGCCGCACTTTTCAGGCTCTGCTCGTACCTCGGGAGCCGCGGAGGCGCGACGCGGGCGGAGGGGGGAAGCCGGGATTTTCCCCGGCCATGTCTGCCCGGGGGACAGCCGCCAGCCGCCACCTCCGCGCCGCTCCTTGTCGCGGGTCCCYAGCCCCGAGCCGAGCCGGGCGTTTGCTCCGCGGGGGACACGGCGTTGGGCGGCCCCACCGCCCGCTGACCGGGGCATCACCCCTGCCGTTCCTGTCCCCTGCCCGCCGCTCCGGGGAGGGCGCGGGGGGCCGAGGGGGACCCGCCGGCTTCTGGGACTTGTAGTGCGGGCCGCGGCCGCCGCTGCTCCCCCGGCCTGGCCCGGGACTACGGTGCCCACATGGCCTTGCGCCCCGGCGCATGAGCGCTCGGGCGCTGTAGCGCATCTATTATACTGCCTTGCCGAGGATAAAAAGAAGAGCAACTGGAGGGACTATAAGGCAAACGTTGCTGGAGCTGCCGGGGCAAAGTAATCTATTTAATCTTTCCCTTTATTTGTTAGATGCTTGGGTGTGCATTGCTAGCACTGGGCCATGGTTTCTGGAGGGAGGGGGGCTGGGGAAGAAGGGGGAGGAAAGCAAAACCCACTTGGGAAAGGCCAATGCTGATTTTTTTTTTATTTTTTTTTTCCCTCCTCTCTTCTTCTGCTCCTTCTTGTTGCGAGAGCTCCGCGTCGCTCCCCGCGGCCCCGCAGCCTTTGTGCGCCGCCACAATTGTAACAAAGCGCGGCGGGGCTGGCTGCAGCCTGGCCATTGATTTCCTCCCGGCCCCGCCGCTCCTGCCCACCCTTTTCTTCTTCTTCTTCTTCTTCTGCCGCTTCTTCTCCATCTTCTGCTTCCCCCCTCCCCTTCTCGCCGAGCGCCCGAAGACGCCCCGGCCGGGCGCAGCCGCGGCCCCGCCGAGCCCCGCTCCCCAACGCAGGACGGGGTTTCTTTCTTTCTCTTTTTTTTTTGTTTTTTTTGTTTTCCTTCTTCCCCCTCTCTCGCTCGCTTTCCCTCGCTTGCTCTCTCTGCCCGCCATCTTTTGAAGGGGAAAATTAGGGGCGAAGAAAAGGAGGGCTGCAGGCGCTCTTAAAAACAAGGAAAAAAGAAAGAAAAAAAAGAGGGAGGGAAGAGGGGAAAAAAAAAAAAGAAAATAAAAGAAATAGCGCGGAGGAGCGGGGGGGATTAGGCAGCCTCCAGCCCCCGGTGCCGGCGGAGCGCGGGTCTCGGCTCCGCGTTTTTCGCGGCCGCGCTCGGGCGCGGAGCGGAGCCCGGCGGCGGCCCCAGCCCTGGGCCAGCGCCCGCCTGCTCCGGCCATTTCCCCGGCCCCGCCGCTGGCTTGGGAGCTGGAAAAAGGTCTGAGCAGGCAGCGGATGRTGGGCTGGAAAGTGCGCGTTTCGCGTGTTGTCCGTGTCCGCATGCATTTATTTATGTATGTGTGTGTGTGTGTATCCAGCTGCTCCGCTCGTGTAAATATCCGGTGTTTACCAAACTTTTGCAAATAAATGGAAACCCCAGGGTTCGCTGCCTAAACTTGGTATGCTTTCTAGGTGTAAAAAGAAACGCAGATCGCAGATATATATATRGAAGTGTCACGCTATAAATAATGCTACCGATAATAAAATGTAAAACTTCAAAACTCAGCCGTCCTTCTCCTCCGTTTATACTTCTTGTTTGGGTTTGGCACCTCCCAGAGCGCTGGGGATAGAGCATTATTTGTAGCCTGCTTGGTTTCACTTTCAAACAAAGCTGTAGTGTTCAGGTCGCGGGTCTGTGTGCGTCTTTACGTGGCTGGGTCTTGCAGAGCATTAATTCAGAACGTGTTTTCCTCCACAATTGACTTTTGACAACGTGGAGAATGCGTTCTGTGAGGTTCGGGGTAAATGTTCTGTGACAGTCTCGGAGTGTGGATGTTCCTTTCTACTGATTTCTTCAGGAATCAAAAGTTACTAAAATAAACTTGTTTGGATGAGCAAATATGATGGCTTCACTAACATTTTAAACTTTTAGATGTAGTTTTGGGTTTTTGGTTTTTTTTTTTTTTTTGCATCTTACGTTTCGTTGTACTGGTAAATAATAGCAGGTTCGGAGTTGACATAGTTAGCAAAGCACACCTGCTGTTCCTTGCTGGGAATAGAGAAGCATGTTTTTAAACATGCTTGWTAGTATTTTTAAYGYGTACARTGTACATGAATGTGCTGGGGGGGTGTGTCTACATGAAACTGRAAGTTTAGTTTTAAAGCTGAAACTGTTGTCTTTAATTCACACAGTGYTAAGCCAAGGTATTAGAGGGGACTTGGTGACTGCCATATGTGCTGCAGGATCCGGGTGACAAGTGCAGGATAAATATGCATCGATCAAAACAAACAAGAGGTCCCCAAAGCAGTTTGGTTGCTTTACAAGCAAAAAAACAAAAAAAAAAACAAAAAAAAAAAAACAAAACAAAAAAACAAACCACGATCTGTATTGCTTACAACTCCCCAACTGCTTGAGTGTACTGTGAATGCAAGTCCTGCCCCCTGCTCTGCAGATCACAGCACTGTCAGACTGCTGGGTGTCTCAGTTTGGTGGCGCAGAAGTTTGGGGAGTTTTTAATAATACCCTGGGAGGCTCCTGCTGAAACAGAGTAACTCCAGACCTCAAAGCCTTCTTTTTGGAAAGAATAAATGCTAAGATTGTGTRTTTGTTTCTCTTTAGTCTGCACGGGATAAAAATACTCGCTCATGCGTATTTAGTGTTTTGAGACAATGTTTAATAGAAGGGTTGGGCAGGGGATAACAGTTTTATACAATGTTCAGCATGAGCTTGATTGCAATATTGTCTCTTCAGTGCTCAGTGCTGAGACAGTAGCTGTTCCAGTGAAAGGCTTTTTACTTGTTGTGACCTATGCATGCAGAGTTTAAATTAAGAAAGAATGCATGTGCAACGTGAAGTGTCCGAGGGTTGTTTTCAAAACTAACTCTGGAGTGTTAGTTCTGTTATCTTCAAATAAAAAATAGGCTTCTGGAAATAAAACTGGTGTCACTTAAGCACCAAAGTACTTACAGAAACTTTAGTTCTTGTTATTTAAAAAGTATTTAGAGGAAAAGCATGCTGGAGTCTGATGTTTCAGCTCAGTAAGCATGTTGGGCAGCCTTGCCCTTGTACTGTCTGTCTCTAAAGAAGGCTGATTTTGTTATTAGTCAGTGTCTGCAAATGCAAGTGTTTCTGTGGGCTTCTTAGCTGGTTGTGTCTTTGCACTGCTGTGTACAATGACTTAAATAACAGTTCTTAATAATCTTGCTAAAGGCCTCTGCTGAGTTAAGAACTGTGTGTTTAGAGCTCATCTCTTAAAACTGTGCTAGACTTAAAACAGAGGTTTTTGGTATCCTCTGACCTCACCTGCAGGCCAGGGTCCAACCTGCCTGACCTGAAGGTCTCTCCCTGTGAGGCTGAAGGCAATGCACACACACACAGAGYTGTTTAGCCTGGGGAAGGCTGGGGCTTCCCAGAGGTTTTCTGGCACATCTCTTACTTGGTGCAAGTTCTGAACGATGCTGTTTAATATTTACCTTTTCACTTKGAGAGGAGGCACTTGTGCAGTGGGGTGTGGGTTTCCAGCCAAGCCCTGCTGCACTCCTAGAATCTCACTCCTCCTCCGGGGAGTAATCTGGGAGCCTGATCGCTCTTGTTGACAGCACAAACAACTCGGGAGTCAAATCCCTCTTCTCAGCAGCAGCTGAGTGATGTACTGAGGTCTCATATTTCAAAGGCTTAATTACTTTTACAAAATATATTACTCTGTCTACTTTGGTAAGCTATCAGGTGCTTTCAGCACAGGCAGAACTATACTTTGCTAAATAAATGAACAAAGAGTGTTTTGCATCTCAGTGTTGTTGATTGTTTCTCTTTAATCCTGGTTGCTCCTTCTTTGCTAATTTGCAAAATTCATTAATCCACAGTGGGTTTCCCAGTCATTACCATGAGCCATATGTTTTGTTTTGTTGTATGTGGTGTTGGTTTTTTTGGTATTTGTTTTGTTTTATTTCAAATTGCTACATTATCCTTCAGTACTAGCCCAGAATGCCGTTGTAAGCAGTAGAGTTCTGGGAATTGGGAGGAAACCATTGTGTGCTGTGCTGTGCTGCTCAGTGAGCTGTCAGGACGTTTTGGAAGGATCTGTGCACCTCGAGCTTTTCATTCCATGGGATTTTACTGTGGCATCGGGGTTGTTTGGTCAATCGTTAGTGCTTGTTGGAGGTGAACAAGTCTCTTTGGGGCACTCTAACTCTTTAACTCACTTGTTGCTGAAGCCAGGGTTAGGAGGATGTAAATTCTTCTGGAGAGCAGTGTAGAAATTCTCTGTTATGTGCTGTTTTTTCTAGTAGTGCTTTACTCATTCTTCTTGATAAGATACTGACTGAAGAAATTACTCACTTCTGTTTTGGGTTCCTTATGCACATTTCCAGGCTTTGGTCTCTTTTCAGCAAATGTTGTCATATTTGGAAGTATTCAGCAACATGGATYGCCTGGGCAGAGGAGGTTTTTTTCTTTCCTGGGACCAGGACTTTCTCCTTTCCACAGCATTCCAGTAGGTGTGGGAAAGACAATCTGAGGTGAAATTTCTGTTCTTGAGAGACCAATCTGGAATGAACTGCCCTGTCTGAACTAATCCCATTTACTGTCAAACTTTGAGATGTAGACTCAGATGTGATTGACACCAGTCTGCTTTGGAAATGATTCTGTTTGCTCCTGTCTTTCCTTTAAAGAGAGAGAGGCAGGGACAGGAAAGGATTGCTGTTCTCTCTTGAGGTTTACACTTGGAGCACTTTCCCGTGCTGACATCCATGCAGAGGACTCATGGACTGACACAGATGTACAGGCAGAGATGTTCTCTATTGTGACTGACTCTCCTGTTGTAACCAAACCTTACCTGACTGAAGAAAATGTACATTTTTCCTTCTGGTACTTGGTCTTTCAGCTGCTCAACGTATYCTTGTGTAACATCACAGAGGGTGCCTGGTTGGCAATATCCCTTTACCAAAACCCATCAATACAGCCGTGCTGAGAAAAATCTGTTTTCTTCAACTGCCTTGGTCCATTGGTTTGGCTATAAGCAAGTGCAGAGTTTGCAGCCCAGAGCTTTTTGCTGGGAGGGGCTGTAGGATGTAGCTGCCTTTTTGCTTACCAAGCCTGGTTTAGGARCTGTGTTGTGCTGTGAGCTGTAGTGAAAGTGATAAACTGAGCACGTGTGTGTRTGTAAGAATTGTGCCTGAGTTTAGTGGAGAACACTGTTCCTTCCTGGAAAGCATTGCTTTTTGCAGCTTTTTTTGGTGCTAGAGTGCTGTTCAGGGTCTGTGAAATAGTGTTGAAGTGCAGCTCTTCAATGAAYAAAGAGGGAATATTTCCTCAAGTTTCCCCTGGAGTAAGTGCTTGCCTGAGTGGGAGTGTTATGGATCAGCCAGCGTGCTGAAAATGTGCTCCTTTCCTGGGCAGGAACAAGCCACRT